AGCACGGGTCGGACAGGACGGCACTCCAACCGGAACGCCTGGATCCCTAGTGACCCACTGTCAACAAGCCAGATATGCTCCGTTACCTGATCACTCTGGCTGCCCAAGCACCGCCAGGTCCTCTTTGGGCAGCATCATAATTCCCACGAGCGTGGAAGTATTTGTCGGCACCTTTATAATTTGCCTCGCGCATGTCCCGGTATGCTCTGTACATGTCCCATGCCCCTGAAGAAAGCAGTGAAACAGAGACAATGTTGGCTTTAAAGAGTCATCCCGGAAACAGTTCAGTACCATTTCAGCCAGGAGCTGAAAGCCCCCAGGAGTGGTAACACAGAGAGGTGCTTCTCCACATCGGCCTTTGCACGGAGGTGTGCCCACGGAAAGGGCCTGTGGGCGCTGAGCAAGACCCTCTCCCAGCAGCAGAAACCAGCGGGGTCCCTCATGTGGAGCTGCAACTTCCCAGCTCTGAGGACTGCATCCATCGGCTGCCAGTAACCTGTGACGGTAACAGCAGCTTACCTCCCACTGCATCCCGGACAAATTTTCCAGCTCGGTGTACTGGCGTCTCAGCACTTGTACATAGAATAAAGGAGAGCAACACGAAGCAGACACAGAGCTTCATGGTTCCTGGCCAAAGCCTGACACAGAGCTGCGAAACAATCAGAGAGATGAGCAGTTCTGGAGCACCGTTGAGAGACTGCTGACATAGCACCCATCACACCCATAGCTGTGCCCAGGCAGCTGCCCCTGCACTGATGGCTAGCCCAGGAACCCGCTTCTCCCCCCACAGCCGATGCCCTCTGTGCAACCACAAGGACAGCTAAGGGCTCCACCACAGAGGCAGGCATTTTAGCATTCCCTGCTGCTCCTATCATGAGTACAGAGAAGCCCCACACGCTAAAGCGTTAGTCCTGTTCCCAAATACCAGCTAAAAAGACCGCATATAGATCACAAATTCAGAATATCTCTCACCACTGCAGAAAGGCAAAGCCGAAGGAGATGGAGCTTGTCTTGTGTGCTCTCAGACTCAGAGAGGGTATTTATAAGCAATGCAAACTCCTTTAAAGAGGAAATTGGAAAGGCTACCAATGTCTGGGAATTCCCCCCCCACACTCCACTTCCAAAAGAGAAATCATTACGGTAAGCCTGTCCTTGTCCTTACTGAAAGTTCATAGCTCCTGTTACACAATTTTTTAGAGAGTGTGTGGTTCTTCTTCAGCTGCCCACAGGCCTATTTGCTCCTCCTAACAAGCAGGCTGAGAAGCTGCCTTGAAGACTAAAGTGTTCTGTGTGCTTGAAGTGTTACGAGTTGGCTTAAGGGTGACACTTGTTCAGCTTGTGTGCTGGACAGAGCTGGGATGAGAAAGGTGCCTGATCATCTCCACAGTACGTTGAAGCATAAGGCTGGGTCTGAGTCTGTGCACAGGGAATGGTCAACTGTGTTACCAGAATGGCTGCAGGAACTGCAAAGTGAAATTCCCATGCGTGCTGGAATGACAAGATGGATCCCAGAGCTGATGGAAGTGTTGCTCTTAACTCCATGGCAGAGCAAACCGCATACACCCATGTCCCTGCTGATAAGGCTTTAAGACAGTGCATGCACACGCCACCACAGGGAAGGCCTGAATGGTTCGTCCTGCTTTCCCCCTTCTCAAGGGACTTTCAGCCATCCTGCTGCAACAGTGGCTCTGTGGGGCTCAAGTGGGCTGAACTAAGTACAGTTTTTTGATGCAGCAGTAGACGTTTTACTTAAGGGGAAGTTCAGATCCATACAGACACAACGCCACTAGATTTTAAGATCGATATATTAATTGCAGGCCCTATTGGCATGGTTCACAGTTTGAGTACCCACTGTACTCTCTCTGCTTGGGAGCCTGCTCGCTGCTTGCTTCCCTTGGTTAACAACTGACACAACTGTTCCCCATGCAGAAAGCTCCGGGTTTGAGAGCAGTTGCACTGTAGAATGAACGTGTAGCATGTCTCCTCTTTGTGCGGTCTCATGCATGATTTAACAAGTCTACAAGCACTTCCTTAAGTTCTCTGCAAAAGAGGTATGTGTAGTTGCCCCATTCACAACTGTCACTTTCAACGATTAGCCGCTGGAGCTGAAGGGCAGAGGCATGAGGTAGAGGAGGTGCAGTAACAAACTGAGCTGGTAACGTGCCAGCAGCTAACTTCCTTGGGCATCGCTGGACTTCAAACAAGAATTTAGCTTAAGGGAAGAAGAGATGTTTTCCACAGACGGGCCTGGAGCGGCAGGACAGATATTCTCTAGTACACTGTACCTTTGAATGGAGCAATTTCAGACGAGAATCTAAACCCTAACGCAATGGACAAGGAAACCCTGCAAAAAGCAGGGGACCAGAGACATAATTTTGTCCCCTGCCACCTGTGAACTTGGTGCTTAACAGTGTAACAGCTCAGTTACTGCAGAGATGGGAGTGCTGTGTTTTGCTGCAACTCTGTTCACGTCTTAGTGGTGACTTACGCCCTGGCAGTACACATCCACTGAAGTGGCTTCTCTGCTGGCTGCAGGTAGCCCTGTGTGTCACCTCTTTGGTCTTGATTTAAAAAAAAAAACCCAAACAAAAAAGGCTGGAACCTACAAGACCTCAGACATTTTTGAAATACAGAGAATATTTCTGAGTCTTCCGATACGGTCTGATGTGTTTCACATTCTCTCCAAATTTTCTGCAAAAAGCACAAACACGAGGATAATTGCAAGAAGGTAAGTGCTGGAGGGGATCTTTAGAAGATCTCAGCTTGCATCCCGTGGACTTGTCTCCAGCAAGGAGGGCAGCAGCAGTGACAACCATGCTGAAGCTCCCTGTAGTAACTGAGATAAAGCGCCAGCTTTGTGCTCCAGCAGGTAGCAGCCTGAGCACTGCTTTCCCGTATCCTCTTGGCGTGCATTCCCCTATCCTCTTGGCCAGCTTTCTGGGTCACAGCCCTTGGCCCACAGAAATGAGCTGCAGCCAAAACTGTTGCTTTTGCAACAGAAACAGGCAAGCTGCCTCTGAGCACGCAGAAGGATTTGAATGGAATATTCCTTTCTGGCCTAGCACTAAAACATGGGCTGTGTGTGCACACTGGGTAAACATAACACATATAAGGGCCCCTGGGAGACCGTGCATCTGGGTTTGTACATTCTGATACAGTTAAGATAAAAAGCAACCTCAAACTGGTTGTCCTTTAATTCTATGTATCTATAAATGAAAGCTACATTCTGGAAACATTGTGCAATGTAGGCATTTTGCAATCTAAGTAAGTCTCAGATTGAGAAAGGGGATGAGGTGAATTCCCAGCTCAGGCACAATAATACATACAGTTATTCCTTATTCTGGGAAGTAACAGCGACTTGTCTAAGTTTACAGAGGCAATAATTCAGGAGTTTTGCCATGCTGCTATATGGAGTATTTACTAGCATTGGCCTCAGGGTTACAGATGTATAGAACGACTGCAAACTTGGCTCCTCTTCAAGCAACAGACTGCATATGCAGATGTTTACCTTAAACAAAATTGATTTTCCATAGGCTTTGATGATGATTCTAACAGTGAAATAATGTTTTGAGACAAGTATGAGGCTTTTATTTATTTCTGAGGGGGGAAAAAAAACCCGCCACCACCCAACCCAACACAGCTTCTATTTGAAGTTGCTCCAGGCAAAGCCCCCTATATTCATCTCTGCTTTTCAAGGGTCCCCTCCACCAAACCCAAAGATGAGCTGCAGCTCATCTGCTCCAGCACAGGATGCCTTAAACTATCAGTGGTGTATGCTTAGCTGGCTGACAGGAGCTGGTGGGGGCTGTAGCTTTAGGATGAGGGCACTGCTCCGTACAGCTGTAACTTCTAAACAGAAGACCCTTTCATTTCACAGTCTCTTCACCTTACCACGTATCAAGAATGGGAAACAGCGATTTTCCGAGTCTTCTTCAGAGAGTAAATTCTTACTCTTTATTGACAGCCAAGTTAGTTAAAATTATCCACATAAGCTCGCTTCAGACACCAAATCTGAACAAACACTACCTGTTAGCTATATGACTGCTCTGACACAAAATTTTAAAAAAAAGCTCTGAAAGTTATGATTTATTGTAAAACACCCAAAAAAGCCCCAACCCTCACTCAAAGTTAACCAAGTGTACAAAAACCCTACAAAAGTAAGAGACTACTGTGTACACAAAATACACAGAGCAAATAAAGTGGAACCATTACACACAGAGATAAGTCAGGTACATTCTTGGAAAGCCAGCCAACTTCCTCTAAGGAGGGCAACATTAGTACTCAGCTAAAGCTGTGCTACGTTGACACACTGTATGAAACAGTCAGCTAAGCACAACAACCACCGACGTAGCAGCATGCTCATGTGGCAGGTAAGATAACAGGCACTGACATCATCCACTTTGTGTAACCTCATCACACGCTGCAGGTGCCCGGCTCCTATTCCAAGGTTTACTGTAAGAGCACAGGGCGTTTCCGATAGAAGGATCTGTTCTGTTTCCAATGTCAAAATCTAAACCCCAAAAGATTTAAAGTTTTCTTTTTTAGAAGTAGTTCTGTATTGGCTTTTCCACAAGCAACACCATTAACAGCTGAAAGCCTGCCGCTAATTGTCTCCCTGTAACTTCATTTCCTCTAGTGAAGTAACCAACCCTCCACAGTGAAGTCCTCCTTGCAATTGAGATGAAAGTCAGACTGCACCTCTCAAAAAAATGACAGTCGTATTATTAAGTCCTGTTTTGAAAATAAAAGCATTATTTTGCAGCACTGGAAGTGCTGCAAGACTACATAAAAAGATGCTTTATAAAGAAATATTTTCAAGTAATTTCATGACAAAATTATGGATTTTAATAAAATTTAGTTCCAATGCATTCATTAATTTCTTGTTTAAATTACATTTGTGAAAATCAAATACTGACCAGACACCTTCTGCTAAAAATGTGAGAGTCAGACAGTGAAGAGGGCCAAAACTAGAAGCCTAGAAACTTCTTCAAACATGTATTAAGTGCAGAAAGAGTGCTGGTACAAAGCATAATTCTATAAATGAGAAATAAAATCCAAGTGATTTTATGAATCTTTATATTCTAGGAGATATTTAAAAAGACTTCTTTCTTGACAGCATCCTTCTAAAAATACTTATCTAAACCTTCAACTTCTAAAAAGATTATTAAAATAAGACACACGGTCCTCTCACTTTCCAAAATGTCAAAATGCATTGTGGAATTACAAAGTTCACCTAGACTTTAGCATAGCCTTTGACAGACACCGTTTCCCACAGCATTCTCCTGAAGAAACTGGCTGCTCATGGCTTGGACGGGTGTACTCTTTTCTGGGTAAAAAGCTGGCTGAATGGCCAGGCCCAAAGAGTTGTAGTGAATGGCATTAAATCCAGTTGGCAGCCAGTCACGAGTGGTGTTCCCCAGGACTCAGTATTAGGGCCAGTTCTGTTGAACATCTTTATCAATGATCTGGATGAGGGGATCAAGTGCTCCCTCAGTAAGTTTGCAGATGATACCAAGCTGGGCAGGAGTGTTGATCTGTTTGAAGGTGGGAAGGATCTGCAGAGGGATCTGGACAGACTGGATCGATGGGCCGAGGTCAACTGTATGAGGTTCAACAAGGCCA